TTCTTGTAGCAGCAGCATGCAATGGACTTGACTTGACAGTTTCACTGCTACCCACAGAATTCTGAATAGCAGATGTGAAACTCACTAGAAACTTTTTGATGTCATTCTGCTTTAGCCTAATTGAAACAAACGCAGCAGCTGACACATGTGCTGTTTTATATTCCTGGTTTTATGTACGTTTTACAAGCTTAAAGGCTACCTAATCAATTTTTAAAAATAAAAATTAAGGGCTCAGTTCTTAGTTGCTGAGCTCAGTGCATTTGAAGAATACGGAGGAAGAGGAAGTGGTGACATGACATATCTTTCAATTACCCATTGTTGGTGCACCAGAGTCAGATTGAGGCCACTTCAGTCAGGCCCACCACTGGTAAAGGGGGCAACTGCCCAGAGGCCTGAAGATTCAAAGGGTACCAAAGCTCCTTTAGAGGTGGTGATGGGAGCCCTGGGCCCTTTTGAATTAGCCCCACAGCACCGTAGCAGGCTCTCCATGTGGCTCTGAGTGCGGAAAGCGGAGGGGGGGTGCATTGTGGTCTGGGCGGAGTTAAGAGCCGGCCCCCTATCTTGCCCCAGGGCCCATAATGGCTGTCAGCCTGGCTGACTTCAGCCCCTGGATAAATTAGAGCTGCCTCAGGATTGTCAACTCAGGTTTACTGAGTGAGATCCTGGTTCCTTTTGGGCTTAAGTGGAGTGTGAAGCACCATGCGCAACACTATTAGCAGCCTCTTTGTACTGCTGGAGCTTAAGCCAAACTATCTTCTGCCATCTCCAAAGCTTATTTTCCCTTCATTACTAGAACATGAGTTTGTTTAAGCCCACTTGCTCAACTCTTCATTCACTTATTTATACATCCCATATCTTTGTCACATAGAATCATTTTCCACACCTATCAACAAAAGTAGTACACTGTAACTTCTGTATTCTGGGTGTCCCTACTTTGGGAACAACCATGGCATGAATCTTGGTAATGAAAGGAGGAAGCAGCAATGTATGCTGCTACTTCCTCCCTGCCACCTCCAGGTGGGGGAACAGCAGTGCAGTGACATGCTCTGCCAGAGGCTTTTTCCCACCACTCCCATAGCAGCAGGGAATGGTGCCTGGAAGCAGCAGGGGATGCAGAATGACAGATAAGTGCCTCACTTCCATGTCCCTCATGCCCTCCCTGGCCTGGCAAAATCTTTAATCCCGCAAACCCTGTTTCCCAGGTTTGCCTGATTAAAGAGGTTCAAGTGTACACTTAAAAAGAACATGATGTGAGAACTATCCCTATCCTACCCTCAAGTAAAACCATCTGCACTCTACAAACTAGGTGAGAGGGAAACCTCATGTTGCCCCTTGTAGTATAGTCAGTGGTCCATTTCACGAGAGCTTAAGAGGCTAAGACCTCAGAATCCCATGTCTGATAACAAAAGACTCCACGACCTGTATTAGTGTGGGAGTTAAGAGAATGCTCAAGCACCATTTAAACACGTGAAAATGGACTGTAAAAATAGATTATTTTAAAGATAATCACACAGTTAAAATACTTTTGGAAACACATGGAACTCTTGTAATGTCACCTTCTCCTATATAACCTGGAATTGTTTGTTTCTGTTTCAGTTAAAACAGGTAGATTTGTTTTGGGCTAAACACTTTCTTGCATTATTTGCAAACACATTATTTTTTATTAAAGCTATAAGGACAAAAGCAAAATACACTACTTAGGAAGGAACAACTTCATTCAACATGGGAAATGACTGTCTAAAAAGGAGTACTACTCAAAGAGATCTAGGAGTCATTATAGAGGACAAGTTAAATATGAATCAACAGTGTGACACTGTTGCAAAAAAAAAAAAAGCAAACATCATTTTCAGATGCATCAACAGTTGAGTTGTGAGCAAGACATGAGAAATAATTCTTCCCCTCTACTGTGCTGATTATGCCTCAACTAGAGTATTGTATCTAGTTCTGGGTGCCACATTTCAGGAAAGATGTGGATGAACTGGAGAAGATCCAGAGAAGAGCAACTACGATTTAAGGTCTAGAAAACATGGCCTATGAAGGAAAGATTGAAAGAACTGGATTTGCTTAGTCTGGAAAAGAGAAGACTGAGAGGGGACATGATAGCAGCTTTTATGTACCTAAAGGGTTGTTGCAACTAGAAGAGAGAAAATGTATTCTCCTTAACCTCTGATGATAGGACAAAAATCAATAGTCTTAAATTGCAGCAAAGGAGGTTTAGGTTGGACATTAGGAAAAAAGTTCCTGTCAAGATGATAAAGCATTGGAATAAATTTTCTAGGGAGGTGGTGATTGAATCTACATCACTGGAGATTTTTTAAGAGCCAGTTAGAAAAACACGTGTTAGGGATGGTCTAGATGGTGCTTGGTCCTGCCATGAGTGCAGGGGACTAGTTGTGATGAACTCTCGAGGTTCCATCCAGTTATGTATTCTATGATTCTATGATTGAATAATCTAAAATTAAAAGTTTTGCTTAAATAGTTACACAGTACAGTTAAGTATATAATCAGCACTGACCCAGATTTTGGTCTGTAAATATAGTAATTCCTCGCTTAACACGTGCCCGCTTAACACATTTTCATGATAGCACGATTTTTTTTTTAGGGAACATTTTTCGAACAACACGACCTGTCCCCACAATAACATGATTTCCCCTACCAGCCGGCCGGTCACCAGCACCTGCATGGGGCTTCCCCAGCGACCCCCTCTGGTCGGATGCTTCACTCCCTCTCCTCCACTCCCCGTTTACATCCGGTGACTGGGTTTCCCCAGCTGGCCAGTTGCCGGCAGCTGCGTGGGGTTTCCCCTGCCTCCTTTCAAAGCGGCGGAGGTTCGCCACTCGCCGCGCCATTCCCCGGCGACCCCTCCTCACCGGACACGAGGCATCCAGCCAGAGGGGGTCACCGGGGAATGGCGCAGCGAGTGGCGAACCTCTGCAGCTTTGCAGGGAGCGGGAAGCCCTGCACAGCTGCCGGCAACTGGCCAGCTGGGGAAACCCAGCCGCCGGCTGTAAAAGGGGGGCGGAGGAGAGGGAGCGAAGCATCCGACCAGAGGGGGTCGCTGTGGGATGGTGTGGTGAATCTCTGGAGGCAGGGGAAATCTCCACGCAGCTGCCGGCGACCAGCCAGCTGGGGAAACCCACCTGCAAGCGGGGGGTGGAGGAGAAGGAGCGGGGCATCTGGCCAGAGGGGGTCGCTGGGGAATGGTGCGGCGAGAGGCAAACCTCTGCCGCTTTGCAAGGAGGCCGGGGAAGTCCCGCACAGCTGCCAGCGACTGGCCAGCTGGGGAAACCCAGCCACCGGCTGCAAGCTCCATCCCCTATCCTTCCCTTCCCTTCTCCAGAGCCAAACATCTACCCTCCCTGCTATAACCCAGTCCGCTTTCTCCCCCACCTTATGTCCCAGTCCCAGCTGCTAACAAGTGCAGGCTGGAGCTGCGAGCGCATGTGCGCTTGAAATGCAACCCCCACCTTTTCCATTATTTTCAATGGGATAATTGACCCCACATAACATGTTTTCACTTAGCATGTTCATTTTCTGAAACATATCTATTGTGTTAAATGAGGAATTACTTTAACTACTAGTGAACAAGTATTTAGGTACATCACTCATGGAAAGTTTTACAGTTGTAGAAAGTAGGGATGAAAAATACCCATTAAAAAAGTTAACCAGTTAAATGATATAATTTGAATTGTTTAACTGGTTAACCAAGGAGGTTGGTGCAGAGCAGCTGGGGTCCCGTGTCAGGGGCTGCTCTGGCTTGGCTGGACCCACTGCAGGTAAGCATGCTGGTTATCCTTTTACATGCCCAATGGAACGCAGAAATGTCAATGAGTGGAGGTTGTTCTTCAGTCTGTCAGTATATTACAGCCTTTTCCTAACTCATGAGACTAGACTGTGAAATACACCAGAAACAAACCATTCTAGTTCCACTGCCTAAACAGAGGGAAGTATAAAAGTTAAACAGCATGAGCTGTTTTAAACAAATCAGATTTTAAAACTAGTTTTCATAATCTAAGGAGTTCATCAGTAATTCATATATTTACCTTAAGTGACGTAGCAGTCTGATAATACTAATGAAATTAAATGAGAAGTCTCAATATAATATGCTACATAAGGCTATAATTCTGCAACTGAATATACAGGCAAACTCCTGAATCCTTAAAAAGCCCCAGTAAAATCAGGGAAGCTCCATGTAAATACAGAAGTCAGCCAACACAAACTCTCTGTAGAACTAGATCCTAAATTCTTATTTTTCCTCTCTAAATTTCTTAAATTTCTTAAAAGGGACTATTCAATACTTTGTTTACTTTTAATCTTTGTTTTTGCCATTTTAATTGCTTTGTTGCCATAACATAAATTAAGCAGCAAGCGTTGCCTTTACCATGGGCGGCCGGTGCAGTGATGGCTGAGGGAGTTGCCCCCTCTGCTGAGGTCCTGACTCCCACCACAGAGCAGAGAGGAGGGGGGCAGCATGCTGAGCATGCGTATTCCCTCACCACAGAGAGAGGAAAGGTATGTCTACACTGCCACCCTAGTTCGAACTAGGGTGGCTAATGTAGGCATTCAAAATTGCAAATGAAGCCCAGGATTTAAATATCCCAGGCTTCAATTACATCTTGCCTGGCGCCGCCATTTTTAAATCCCCCTTAGTGCGGACTCCGTGCCCGCGGCTACACGCGGCACGGAGTAGGTAGTTCGAATTAGGCTCTCTAAGTCGAACTACCATTACTCCTCATGGAATGAGGTGTACCGGTAGTTCGAATTAGAGAGCCTAATTCGAACTACTTACTCCGTGCCGCGTGTAGCCGCGGGCACGGAGTCCGCACTAAGGGGGATTTAAAAATGGCGGCGCCAGGCAAGATGCAAATGAAGCCCGGGATTCATTTGCAATTTTGAATGCCTACATTAGCCACCCTAGCAGTGTAGACATACCCAAAGAGAGGGGAGGGGGGGTTGCATGTGCCCAAGCTTCTCCAGCCCCAGAGCACTGGGGAGGGAGGAGGTTGCATGGCCCCAGCCTCCCCAGCACACTGTCGAGGGAGGAGGCTGTGTAGGCAAAATTCCCCTGACCCTGGAACACTGGTGAGGGAGGATGCTTGGGGGCCACAACACTCTGTCACCAGAATGCCTACAGCAGGTGTTCGGGGGTGGAGTGTGGGCAGGGCTATGCCTGGCTGTTTGGGAAGGCTTTGCCTTTCCTCACCTAGGATACTGGACACCCATGGCCTTTACTAATTAATAATGCTTATTTCATTATAGAGTGAAATCTAACTATTAACACAAGAGATGACCAAGCTCATCAAGTTCAGTTAAATTATATTTTGAATCACATTACAATACAATCCCCTACAACTTAAATTTGAAACTGCATAAACATGTTCTAGGGATTTTTACTTTTGTGTGGTTTCTAATGTAATTTATTTTGAAGTAATAAAATATAGAAATACTTACTGGATCCTTTTCTGGATTGCATACTTTAACCCAGAGTAGATGATCTAGAAGCCAGTCTATGGGCTTATCTTTGTAGAACATTAAAAAGAATTCTACTATGAGTGGTAAATCTTTAGTTCTAAACAATTTTCCTGAAAACAAAATAAAAGAAGAGGTCATACATTTCAGTAATATTTTAGCACTGTGTGGATACCACTACAGCCCATGTTTTCTTCCTGCACCTAAACACATAAGTTAGGACCCAGGCCCTACTGTACTTCACAGAATTATCATCATTAGTATCACAGAATCATAGGATGTTTGGGTGGGTGGTGGGTTCAAGCACAGGATGGTGAGTTCGAGTTTACCCCCCTCCAGCCACCCAGTCAGTGTTTGGGGGACCAACACCAGTTGCCCCAGGAATGGAGCTGGCTCCTGGATTAGGAAGGCAGAATAAGGGATGCCCTGAAGGTAGGAAGGTGAGATGGGTTCTGGAATTGCCTAGGGGACAGGGCATTTCCCTACGGAGCACAGGTGGTGGGCTCGACTCCAGCCTTCCCACTCAGCCAGCCAGGCAGCGGCAGGGCGGCCAACACCAGTTGCCCCAGGAATGGAGCTGACTCCCTCCTTAGGAAGGCAGGATAAAGAATGGCCAGGAGGTGGGGTGGGTTCTGGAGTAGCCTAAGGGATAGGGCATTGGTCAGGCGAGCGCAGGGTGGAACAGCAAGGGTCAGTTAGTCTAACCCCCTGCCAAGATGAAAAATTTGTTGTGTCAAAACCATCCAAGACAGATGGCCATCAGCTTCCTTTTGAAAACCCTCAGTGAAGGAGCTTCTATGATCCACCTCGGTATATTTTAGTGAACCTCCCATGATTTCATGGGGTCAGGCTTTTGCCCATAAATTTTGTCTAAAAAAAGAAAGAGCATGATTTTTATTAAAAAACCCAATTAATCTATTTACTAATCTCATATGAAACATTACTACAGGTGCAGTCACGCACCTTTAAAACTGTATTAAGTGTTGGCGTCAACTTTAGGCCAGGTCTACACTAGACCTGGAAGGTTGGGTTAAGGTTTGCAACTCCAGCTATGTAAAATACATAGCATGTGGTGTAGGTGTAGTTACATTTCACAGGGAAAAACAGCTGTGTCTACACTGCGGTTTGTAGCTGCATGCCACAATAAGAGGCTTTGGGGCAGCAGGGAAAGACTCTGGCATCTCCCCACCAGGTTGCTGCTGGTGCCTCTCCCTGCTGCCTGCCTCTGCTGGCTAGGGATTGGCTCTCGTAGTGGAAGGCACTGTTTTGGAATGTATTGTACAGTATTGGGTATCCACCCTGAGGTTCAGGCATGTCTTAACTCTATTCACTGAAGCAGCATTTCACCATCCATGCTACACTATTTACAACCATGCTAAGGGAGGGAGTGTGCAGTGTATGTCACTATAAGGGTAGACACAGCCAAAGTTAGCTAAAAGTAAATTGATTTAGTTAAACTGGTGCACCTATGTTTGTGGAGACTCCTGTTTAACTCATATAACCTTTACTCCCAGCCCTAGCTAGTGTCTCTGTTTTGCAGGACAGATGAAGGCAGCTAAATGGAACAGGGAAGCATCCTGCATAGACATTTCCCTCCTGTATCGGCCCACGATAGATTTTTCTTCAAGTTTGCTTCCTCTGCACTACATTCAGAAGCAAGATGCAGTTTAACATGTTGAAACAAAATCTGTTTTGAATTACCTACTGTACATATTTCTAGCTTGTTGTTAAACTTGAATGTGTTTTTTTCACAATATGTATGTTTTATGATCAGTCACCATGTTGTTAGATAGGAAGGATAACTGAACTGTTATTAAAGGGAAAAAAAAAACAATTCCTAATTCATGATGATTTAGCCGTCTTAATGTACAAGCTAAAAGAGCACTAACAACCAATAGACCAAGTTTTACCTTTGGATGAGTATGCATGGATCCTACTACGCAAAGGCAATTGGAGCCATCTCTGACTACTCAAAGTCATAATATGGCCCATTGGTATTTTGGCAATTGAGCCCACTTACAATTATTTATACATCAGCCAAAACAAGAACAAGCAGCTTCCAAAACTTTTATGAAAATTGTAAAATAGACTGTATGATTTGCACGTACGTTATGAATCAGTTACATGCTAAAACTTATTTGTTTTTATGTTACTGATTTTACAGGTTTTTATCCCATTGTTCTTTGAAGGTCCAATAGCTGCACCACCAACTCTAATTATATTTCAGGAAATCTCGTAAAGGGTTCATTTGCATGTGAGTGCATCAACAGCTGAACTTTCAGATATATAAAATGTGTATATAGTTGTGTGATTAATTTCTGCATGCAACCGCATACTCTAATTGAAAGCACAGAACAGCTTACTTGCACATGCCAATGTGTCAAATTAGCCATTTTGCTAAGTATTCCCTCACACATTAGGTGTGCAGCTGCATGTACACTTACATGCTTACTTTGTTGTAAAATCTAGCCCTAAACATAACTCTTCTCTGTAATATGACTTTTTTGTTCTTAGTTTTTATTTTTACCAGAAGACTATGGTAAGTTATAGTTACTCACTCCATTTTTCCAATACTGATAATGGTGTGAGGGGATATTTGCCACTGAACTATTTTATAAAATAAGTTTTAAAAAAACTTTAAAAACATTAAAGGATCAATATAAAATAATATGAAAATAACAGCTTGATGTAACTGAAAAGTAACTTACTGTTACAGGGTGTATGCATCCCATCCCCAGCAAAAAGAGACAAGGCTCAATAAGCTTCTTTGGAAGCCTGATACACCTCAAATTCTTGTGCAAATTCTAAGACTCGCAGGGAGGGACTCATTACAGTCCAGTTAAGTGTGGACCGTTAAACAGGAGCTGGGAACACACCCCTTGTTCTGAGGGAATACAGCAGGGGTGGGCAAGATATCTCTCATGGGCTGGATTTGGCCCGTGGATACCCTACCAGGACCCTCAGGCATGCAGCAGTCGATGATTTAAGCAGAGTACTACTCTATGTGACTCTCTACTCTGAAGGGAGGGGAAGGCTTCATGTGATCTCCCCACCTCCAGCTCAATCTCTCAGCTCCTGTCAGCCAGAAACAACCAGCCAATAGGAGCTGAGAGACTGGCCTGGGGAATGGGGGCAGTGCAAGACTCTCCCTATCCCAGAGCTGAGCCACCTTGAGCGAGCAGCCTGCATTTTCAAGTGGTCTGGTGCTGCAGTAGGCTGGGAGCCCTGCTTGCCTTAAGGGTGCTGCAAGGACTGCCTGCTTTGGGGGTGCTGCTTAGGTGTGTCCCAGCCAGAGCCTGCCTCTGGCATCTCTGCCCTTCCTGCACCCCAACTCCCTCCCCCTTGTCACCATCCAAACCCTCTGCACCCCCTATCCCAGGTCAAAACTCCCTCCCAAAGCCTGTACGCCCTCTTACACCCCTCCCTCAGGCCAGAATTCTTTCCTGCACCCAGGCCCCCTCCCAGACCCTGCACCTGAATCCCGTGCCCCAAATCACAACCCCACTCCTTCACCCAAACTCCTTCCCAGACCTCACACCGTCTTCTGCACCTCCATGTGCCCTTGTACACCATCCCAAACCACACATCTCCTTCATAGAAAAGTGCGGCCCTTGACCACTTCTCAAAATCTTGGAGTGGCCCCCTACCAAAAATTATTGCCTACCCCTGGAATATAGCGTGACTGGACTTTGAGCTAAACACTAGTGATCATGCTGAAACTGAAACACTTACCAATAAATCCAAGCTGAGAGAATTCAAGAATTATCCACTCATCGGAGGGCTTTGAAAGAGCAAAGGTTTTTATTTTCTGAAAATATTGAGGTTTGGCTACAATATCATCTTCTAGCTGAAAAAAAAAAAGAAATTGTATTTTCATTGTTTACAGAGAGAGGTTATCTTGTAGGGTTGCCAGGTGTCCGGTTTTGAACCGGACAGTCTGGTACTTGAGTTTTCTGTCTGGGAAACAAATTAAGAAAATTGGTATTTTCTAATTAAGTTATATTGTTATCATGAGTATCAGTACGTAGTTGCGTACTACGTGAGCGTGTCTACCAGCCAGGCAGTAAGCAGCTAAGCAGTAGAAAGGAGGGGGGCGGGGCGGTGTGGAATCCTCAGGGCCAGACTAGCCTCTGCACCCCACCGGGACCGTGCGTGGGATAGGCAGCATCCTGGGATCTGTATGTGCCTGGGTCAGCCCCACTCCCTGTCAGCTGGTTCCCCTCCCAGCCAGCCCTGCTTCCTGTTGGCCAGTTCTTTCCCCCGATCTCTCCTACCCAGGCCCATTCCTCCTGACCCCCTCCCAACCAGCCCCACTTCCCTCCTGGCCGGTCCTCCCCTGTCCCCGTTCTGAGATCATGTATGTCCGGTATTTTTTTGAAAGCCATCTGGTAACCCTATTATCTTAATATGTATACATTATGTAATTTTGTTTTATTACTGTCAGGTATGTTACTGAAATGTACCAGACTCTAGCATATGATAGTGATTTGACTAGTTTTCTCAAAAGATTCCCATCTCAGAATCACACAAATATTTGTTTTACTAACAGCTAAGCACTTCCCAGATATTCAAGAAAGCATGAGTCCCAATTTTAAGAGATCTAAGGAAAATCTATGGATAAACAGATAGACAGAGGGTAAGGAAAGAAAAACAACAGGGTATGTCTAGATGGCAGTCATAGGGTGTGATTGCAACTTGAGCTGACATGGACTGAGTTAGCAAAGCTAAAGCTAGCTTGAGTTACAAACAGTGATGTCTCAGAAGCACAAGCTAGCCCCAGGAGTAATTGCCCAGGGTTCTGGATGGGTCTATGCAGCTTGTGCTGCTGTGGCTTTACTGTTCTGGGACTGAGATAGCAAGATTAATCCTAGCTTGGGTGTATTTGCAATGTATACATAGTGTATCTGCAGTTTATACATACCCTTAGAGAGACAAGGTCAATGAGGTAATATCTTTTATTGGACCAACTTCTGTAGGTCCACTAAAAGGTTTTACTTAACTTACTTTGTATCTCTAACATCTGGGACTGACAAGGCTACAACTATGCTACATAAACATACTCTTCCTAGACATATTTTATATAAAAGTAATCTCTATTGTAAGAAATATAGGAGAAGTGTCTCTTTAAGAGACTCCTAATGTGAATGGGATAGAGTTGCAGATGAGCTCAGGTAGGTTGCACCATACATGAGGCCACATGGGAGAGGACATGGAGGCAATTGTATGAGAAGCAGTTGGACATGGCAGGGAACACTGGAAGATAAGGTGTTGCAAAGCTCAATAAGGGGCAGAATTAGAGCTTTAACAGTGGTGCAAATAAGTTAAAATTAGATGCAAGAGTGGATAAGTAGCCTTTTAATAGGAAAGAATGGCAAGATCAACTTGACAGCAAGGAAAAGAACTTTAGAAGCTGCAGTATATATGGTTTGATGGGAACAAAGTGTGCATTTGAGAGGCTAAACAGACTACTGTAGTTGTTGAAGCACAATATAATGAAGATCATAATAAAAGATTTGGCTGTAGAGATGCAAATACAATAGTGGAACTTTGAATTAGGGAGGAAGAATTACCAGTACTTATCTTGGACCAGGGTTTGTGGGACAAGGAAAGAGGAAGGGAGAGTCAAAAGTAACCATGAGATGAAAGAAATTATGCTGTGTCAACAGTGAAAGACAGTTATATGGTTTGGAATGAAAGATTAGGAATGTGCTTTAACCATGTCATCAGTTTAAGACGATTAAAAGATATTCAGGAGGAGAGACCATGAGATGCAGAAGTCAATGGAAGGAAAACAGTTATTCAGTGGAGAAATAGATATTTAAGAGATCACATCTCAACTTATATGACCTAGTAAAATTATCTAGAGATAGAATATTAAAGTGAGAATGGCAAGGAGACAAGGATAGCACTTGGGAAACTTCCAAAACAGGAGAAGAGAGCCCACCAAAAGACAGAGGACAGAAGTATTAAAGATGGGAAGAATAGCAAGGGAGGACACTATCTCAAAAACTCAGTCAGCATTATATGTCAAGAAGTAGCAGAAGGCTGACAACGTCAAAAAGCAGCAGAGAAAATGAGTACAGGCCCCGAGATATGGCCAGGAAGAAATCATCAAAGACTTCAATGAAAATAATTAAAGTAGAATAGAAAAAGCAGAAGTCAGCTACATTTCTATCAGATTGGAAGGAATTGAAGATGAAGTTTGATAAAGTCTAAGGCCTAACAGGACCATTAGATCAGCTAGCCTGACCTCATGTATATTCAGAGGCAATTAAATTTCACCCAGTTACCCTTGTATTGAGTCCTTAACTTGTATTTAGCAAAAACATAATGTCCAAACAGGCATCCAGTCTTGATCTGAAAATGGAGAGGGTGAGAGAGAGAGAGAATCCTACTACTGCCCTTGGTAGAGAGAGTGATACGGAACTGTTATTTATCCTTTTACATAACACTAGACTCAGGGATCAGCCAATGAAATAAATAGGCAGCAGATTTAAAACATACAAAAGGAATTACTTCTTCACACAACTTGTGGAACATTGCTGAAGAATGTTACAAAGGCCAAAATAATAACTAGGTTCATAAAAGAATGATCCAAGTTCACAGAGGATCGAGCCCTCAATGGGTATTAAGCGAGATGGTTAAGAACACAATCCCATGCTCTGGGTATCACTAAGCATCCAACTGCTGAAGCTGGTTTTGAGCAACACTCAAAAATTGCTGTTATGTTCATTCCCTCTGAATTATGTAGCACTGGCCACTGTCAGAAGAAAGGATACTGAGTTAGATGGACCATGAATCTGAACCAATATGGCCATTCTTATTAAGATAATTGCAATCAATAAGAAAAAAAATCATTAGATTGCAAGGTTTCTACAGATAGTAGAGTGGAAAAGCACCTCAAAAACTAAGTCTGAGTATAAAACAAATTCTGAATGAAGATGCTGAAAGCTGTTGTCATATTTAATGTTTTCATTTAAGTTCCCATGAGTATTGACAGAAAGCACTTCCCAACAACTGCAGTAATTGGGCTATTCAAAGATGCTTTCAGCTTTAGAAATACATAATTACCTCAGGACAAAACAACTCTAAATGGACATGAGAAATAATTGCATCTCCTGCTAGGTAAGTAGAGGTTTGATTGCCTACTTTTATGGCTGACTTACAACCCTATTATCCTGACCCTGGCATTAATACAAGTGTCTCAAGGGGCTCCAAAGTACCACAAAACAATTTGAATCATTACAGTGAAAATTGTTACTAAACATCTCTGAGTTTTTTAGTGATTAACAAAGACATTACCAAGTATAAGGAGAACAGACTGAAGATACAGAAGCTGATCATATACAAAAACTTAAACTAGAAGAGATGACTAGAAGTAAACTAGAAGTAAACTAGAAGTATCAGGTCTTATCTTTTTCCAAATATTTATTTTGGTTTAATGAACTTCACAAAGCAGCTCACTTAGATCTCAATTCAGCAAAACACTTCTATTTAAATGTTTTGCTGAACTGTGACTTCAGCTGGTATGTGACAGTAAGTGTACTATAGACACATCACTTTATTATCTTTTCAACTTAAGAAGTTCATGTAAGTTATTTACCAAAATGATATTATTTCTGATAAAATACAGGTTGAACTTCTGTAGTCCGGAACCTTTGGGACCTGACTGGTTCCAAATGAGAATTTTCTCAACCATGGGAGGTCAATATTGTCTAGCAGCATTACCAATACTTCCACTGCTTACTGTGCTGATAGAGAACATTTAGACTATGTCTACACTACAGCACTATTTTGGGATACCAGAGGTATCCCGAAATAGTAATTCCGTGCCTTCTGAGCACACCCGTTATTTCTAAATATAATGGCTATTTCGATGTCCCTGTAAACTTCATTCCACAAGAAGTAAGGGACATTTCAGAATAGCAATTTATTTTGAAATAAGTGTTGTGTACACAGTGCCAAATTTTGAAATAAGGTATTTCAAAATAACATCGAAATAAGATAAGCAATTTGCATAGCTCAAATTGCGTATCTTATTTTGACCTACAGTGCAGTGTAGATGCACCCTTGGGGTAAATTAGAGCTAAATAACAGCACAGAATACTGAGAGCTAGGACTAGTGGCTATAAACAAACTTTATGGGACCACAGAAAACTTGGCCACACCCATGAAAAGTGGACATCCGGCTAACTAAAATCATTCTGGATGACAGATATTACTGGATGAGACAGTTCTGGATTAGAGAGGTTCAACCTGTAGTAAATAAATTCTCCATTTTAAAAATGTCCCTAAAATACTAAACATATCCAACAAGTAAAACAAAAGCATTAGGAAAATGTCACATACTTTCAATTTTAATCCAAAATGTTTACAGTACAATAGGGTAAGTAATGGGCTTAGGAAAAGGATTTTTAATCTTTTACTTCATGTTGCTATGGAGCTTCCAAATAGATTGTGACCATTATATACATGTTTGGAGGGATGCCTCAACTGCTAATGCAGCACCCATTTTATTCCCTTTGACTCTGAGAACGCCTCTATGTACAGGCCAGGGTCTGTGGTGGGGAAAGATCCAGAGATGGCACAAGCCTAGCAAAAGAGTGGCAGGGTAGGAGAGGACCAGAAGGAAGGGCATCATTTCCCTTCTAGTCTTCCAGAAGGGTCTTAAAAGATAAGATTGCTATAGGGATCACCACAACCCATGACTAGGTTTATATGCCACTAGTCAGACCTTATGATTTCTCAGATGAGGTAACAACATGTCATTATTCTTAAAGGAAACTGAAGATTCATAATAATCATCCCTGTGCAAGCACAAATATTTCTGGTATTGTTACAATCTTCTCCAATCACACCAACACAACGAGAAATACAAAACATTTTGTTTGGAGGCATTAACGTTTGGACAGTTATGTTTCCACTGGCTGCATCTAAGATGCATTAGAGACTTGGGTAATATTTTCAAAAGTGTGCAAGTGACATAGGTACCCCAGGTGCATTTTCAGACATAACTTAGGTGGTTAGGAACCTATATCTCATTCACTTTCACTGATACTGATCACATCTCAAGATTCAGCTTAGGCTCTTAAGCAGAACTGGTAAGAAATTTTCAGATGAAACACTTTTCCACCAGAAAATGCTGTTTCATCAAAAACCAACTGTGACGGACCCAGCGGGTACATAGGTACCCCAGGTGCATTTTCAGACATAACTTAGGTGGTTAGGAACCTATATCTCATTCACTTTCACTGATACTGATCACATCTCAAGATTCAGCTTAGGCTCTTAAGCAGAACTGGTAAGAAATTTTCAGATGAAACACTTTTCCACCAGAAAATGCTGTTTCATCAAAAACCAACTGTGACGGACCCAGCGGGTCCGCA